GAAACACTTATCAGACTTGGCGTCAAGCTTGCCATTCGTCATAAGACGTTTGACATAAGCCTCACAGCCCCAAATCTTTAAGTGTGACAGAACCGGGCATTTGCCCGTCTATAGCTGGTATGGTGTTACTTCAACCTCCTTAGTTGCAACTCGGTTAAGAGTATATATTGTTGTGCTCAGCGCATACCCCCAGAATGATTCTCGTAGAGCCGAATGACCCATCATAGAATGAACCATGTCAAGCAGGGTTCGGTTCCTCCTTTCAGAGACCCCATTTCATTGTGGATTCCCAGGAGGTGTGAGTTGGAATAAAATGTCATTCTCTCTAAGATAGTCATCACACTCACTAATTAAGTATTCTCCACCTCGATCGGATCGTAGTGTTTTAATACTTTTGCCAAGTTGTTTTTCAACTTCATTCCTGAATTCTTTGAACATTTCAAAGGATTTTGACATGTGTTTCATGAAATACACATAGTCATATCTACTGAGGTCATGAGTAAATGTGATGAAGTATGAATAACCACCTCGTGCAGTTGTATTAAAAGGCCCGCGCACATCACTGTGAATGAGTGCCAGAAGATAACTAGCTCTTTCACCATGTCCGGTGAAAGGAGACTTGGTCATCTAACCCAATAAACAAGATTCGCATGTGTCATATGATTCAAGATCAAATGAGTCCAGCATTCCGGATCGATGTAGCTGGGATATGTGTTTCTCTTTATATGGCCTAACTTACAATGCCATAGGTATGTTTGGTTCAAACCGTTCAATTTGTTACTCTTGGCTGATATGTTATAGACAAGCATGTCCAAGCTAAGTCAAGGACATATAACCCATTGGTCATGTTGGCATTAGCATAGAAAACATTCTTTCTGCAAACGGAAAGGGACTTATCTTTAATAGAAATGATGAGTCCACTTTTATCAAGACATGAAACAAAAATAATGTTTCTGCTAATTGCAGGAACGTACAAGCAATTGTTTAATTCCAACATAAGACCACTAGGCAAGACTAAACTATAAGTTCCGATTGCCAAAGCTGCAACAGGTGCACCATTGCCAACTCGGAGTTCAATCTCGCCTCGAGCTAACCGTCTACTCTGCTTTAGTCCCTGCATGGTAGTACAGATATGAGACCCACATTTAGTATCTAGTACCCATGATGAAGGTATAGACATGTTAACTTCTACAACATATACCTCAGAAGAAATGGTTATACCTTCCTTCTTCTTTGTTGCGAGGTATGTCTTGCAGTTTCTCCTCCAGTGGCCTGCCTTACCACAGTGATGACATTTGCCCTTTGCAATTCCTCCTACGGGTTTCTGGGTTGCAGATAAAGTGGACTTCGATTTAGGCTTTCCGACCGTCCTAGCCTTAATCTTGATCCCCTTCTTCAGCTTCCCCTTTCCACCTTGGATCATAAGGACGGAAGCACCCTTGCCCTTAGTAAGGTTCTCCTCTGCAGTTTGGAGCATCTTAAGAAGCTTAGGAAGGGGTTTGTAAACATCTTGCATAATGTAGTTCATGACGAACCCCTTGTACAGCTCGGGGAGTGACTACAGGATCAGGTCCGTTGCTAGCTCCTTCTGCAAGGTGAACCCGAGTTTCTCCAAATTGGTTATGTAACCAATCATTTTGAGAACATGCAGACCAACCAGGTTCCCTGGAAAGATCTTGCAACTAAAGAGAGCCTTACTCACAAGAAAACGTTCATGTCTGGATTGCCCTTGGTATAGCAGCCGCAAGGACACAATCATGGCATGGGCCTTCATGTAGTCGTGCTGTTTTTGCAGTTCGGCTTTCATGGTTTCCAACATGACACAACTAAGTTTTCATCCTTAACATTTTTATCATCACTTTGGTTCCCATGACATTGGTTCCCAATGTCATGGGAACCTTCCCCTATATCATAGGCACCTTTAACTGCTTTCAGTGTGTTAGCGGGAAGGGCAGGAGGAATGGGCTTCTCGAGCAGATACTCTTTCTCATCCATGCGGAGAGCAATGGAGAGATTGCGTTTCCAGTCAATAAAGTTTGTTCTATTCAGTTTTTCCAGTCAATGCGAGGTTGTTTGTGTTGTTGTTGTTTGCCATCTATAGAATTTTGCGAAGATAGTCATTATCATGAATTAAGTATCTAATAGGTCTTAATTATATACTCTCCCACTATTTCTAACAAATCAATTACTCTCCGATACGAAACCTATTGACTTGGGGTCTCTTCCCGAGAAGAATACCCTAGCGGGCTAAGATCCATATTTTACTAAACTATAGTTATGCTTTGCATTTTGCCATACAGTCAAGTTATTTAGGTAGGAATCCATTCCAATTGAAATCATTATTACAATTCTTGGTTCGATGGATTCTTTTAAATAAAGTTCTTAATTGGGCCAGATCCATATTTCATTTAACTATAGTTGTGCATTGCATCTTGCCCTACAGTCAAATTATTTCTGGTAGGAATAAATTCCAATTGTAACAAGTTACAATTCTGATTGGATGACCTAATTTTATTTATTGATCCTACCGCAGTGCTATAAGCCTCTCATCCTTATGACCAAGACTTAGTTAAATCTAACCCGGGGCGAGTCAGTACCCTGGTTACGGGTTTCGCGCCTAACCAACGTAAACCGCGCATCTCACTTGGGTGAGTCCGTTACCGATCTACATTGGGTTTGACGAGTGACGGGGCGTCAGGGTGGCACAGACTTAAAATTATGAGGGATTTTATACGCAGTCTTTCCTATGGCATACACCGCGCATATGCACTAGCGAAAATCACATACACACATACATTGAATCATACATCACATGCATAATAAGTAAACGTGAAATGATTGTGGCTCCTAAAGAAAAACAAATGATACCGTCTTGATCAAGAGATCTCTATCTCCAACCCATCATGTCTTCCTTAGGATCCTCCATCGCGAACGGACTTTGAGTTCTTGTCTTCTTATAATTTTCGAGAGAAAAGAATACTGAGGTAGAGAAGAGAATTACATAGCAATATTTAACTAAGCCACAATCATCCACCATGCAATAACACATACAAGAATCACATGCATCACATCATACATATTAAAGCATACACCGGGCAAACTGCGCTCGCTCTAGATCTAGTTTATTCTATTCTACAGAATAAAGTATCAACAATAAATTAATTAAACTAGCAAGTAATTTAATTAAAAATTATAAAATAATTTAATTTTCCAGAATGTTAGAAATTTAATTTTCTAAACTTCAAAAAATAAAATATTTTATATTTACCGTGTGTGTGTGTGTATATATATATGTGTGTGTGTGTGTGTATGTATGTATATGTATATGTATGTATATATATATATATATATATATATATATTTATTTATTTCAAAAAAGGGATTTTATTTCGAATTAAATACATATATGTTTTCTAAATTAGAAAATAATTATTGGAGACTCCCAGTAAACTTTATTAATATGGAAATCCTAAAATTCTAGAATGAATAAAATTTATAATTTTGAAAACCATTTTTAATAGCTAGAAAACTGAAATGATATTGTGAAAATATATTTCAAAATTCCAAAAATATCAAAATTTATTTTTAAAGTCAAAAATAAGTTCCAGAACCAGAATATTGTTCTTCCATAATAAACAATAAATACATTTACGTACTTAAAAATTATGAAAGTTTTTATACGAGCTTAAAGTCTCTGTTCGCAACTTATTATGAATTGAAATTAATTTTTGATTGCCAAAAAATTGTTTTCTTATTTTCTATTCAATAAATGAATTTAAAAATAGAAAAATAGGAAATTGATTCGGAAAATCGATTTTAATTTTTTTTTGTTATATTGACATGCCAAACACATCCCAGAAAATATAAAATCTAATTTTCATAATTATTAAGTATTTATGACACAAATAACAAGTATTCTACACATAAACTACGTACTTAATAAGAATAATATAAACATACCCCAAACAATAATTACGGAAATTACTAAATAAAAATATATTAGAGGCTTCATACGTTTTGAAGGGCTGAACATAGCGCCAAACGTATGAAGCCTCCAATTTATCCACAAGAACTTGCTCCGGATATTTTATGCACAAAAAATTATACATCATGTTTTATTTTAACATTCATAATTATCATATAATTAAAATAATGAAATTAAAATAATATATATAAGTTCGGCATTAATTTTGTATATATATATATATATATATATGTATATATACATATATATATGTGTATATATATATATATATATATATATATATATACGATTTTGTCAAAATATAATTATCATATACTTAAAATGACAGAAACAAAATATAGTTTTAAAGTACATATGTATTTTCAAAATACAAATATCTTTATATAAAATTATCACAACTATTTATTTAATATTACTCCCACTGATGTAGTATACTACTCCCTTACAAGTCATAAGTGTGTGACCCTTTAGGTATCCATGACACTGGCAATAATATTAAAATAAATTAATACCATAGATAATAAGCGGTATCTAGCAACACATTATTACCTCCAGATTATGAAAAAGGCGTTCATCTCATCAATACCTTATACGACACAAGACGTTTTATAACTATTATTCTTCTGTCCTAAGTGTCATGATTTAACACAAGGCATGAAATGTGTATCCTTGTATAGTTAAATCAGCTGTTACTGAATCTCAAATAGACTGACAAGGATTAGATATTTATCAGCCTCTGGGTAGCGATATATCTGGGCATAACCCATATTTATATGAGTTATGCTTGGGAGGCCGCCCCAAATTTGATCTCATTTTTCTTACCACTCTTCTTAGAAAAATTCACTGCCATGGAATAGTGCTGGATATCTTTGAATATCTATAAGGTGGAGTTAAAAATGGATTCAAAATTGAGGTACTTTTAGCTTTTATATATGAAACATAAAACTATAAAAGTTTCAAGAAAGAAAGAAAGAAGAAAAAATAAATTGATGGCACAAGTATGTTTCAATTCTATTCCAATAATCTAAATTTAATACTTAGAACCATGATGAGATACATTATGCAAGTGCCATAAACGTCACAAAATATCTTCGTTCCACGCTATGGATCACATGCTCGACTAGAATTTCAATATCGCCATTGTATGTATAGTAGTATGGTCGTGGTCTAGCTCCAATCCCATCCTCCAAGCTAGTACAGAGGATCAAAATCCTCAAGCATTATCTGATTAAAAATTGTGAAAAGGTTCAGGTCTAATAACTCATTAATAAATAAACCCCAGGCCAATCAATACATCAAATAGAGCTTGACTTACCCATCCAATTGTTAAATCATCTCATCCCATATTATTATCAAATACGGAGTATAAACAACTCCCGAGTTTAAGTGTATAAACTCTACTCAATATATAAACTACTCCCTAAAATATAAAGGAATATAAAAAATGGTTCCATCAACCCTATATATGAGAAACGTGAAGTTTAATTAGCAAAACATTGATAATTTTATTTTTTGTACAACAAAGAGTACGTAGTAATAATCAAGATCCTATTTTCATTGTAAAATTTGCACTGAATAGGACTTAATAATGACTAGTAAGAAGAATAATGTCCAAGTGATGCTGGACATTTAGTTGAATAATGACTAATAGATAATGACCAATGGTCCTAAATTGTGAAATAAAAACATATGGTCCTATATTGAGAAAGTCATTATGTTTTAGTCCTATTTAGGTAAATTACCCATTTTCATACTCTATCTCTTTTACAAAACAATTCCTTTTTACTTTTTACTATTCCCAAAAAACACTTCAATTTTTGATTAAAATATTCATTTTATTCATACTAATAATTAGTTTACCTATCACATCAAGGTTGGACCCAGGGGTCACGAGGGATCACTTGACCCAACTAAATTTTTTTGTGAGAATATAGTATTGTTTTGTATTTGAATTGTATCCATCTTTACAAGGAATATTTTGATATTTTCATTGTGTGAATGGATTTGTGTAAGGCTATGTGACATTGTTTTTATTCTCTGTACTTAATATATTATAGTGTCACGCGGCCCGTGCGCTACATGAAAGGAAGAGGTCGAATTCATAAAGGATTCTGTTTGTGTGATTTTTTTCCTAGTTTGTTGATGGTAATTTGTTCCCTAGTTGGTTTTAGACTCCTCTCTTCTTCTTTGCCTATAAATAGAGACAGTCTTTGTGTAAAATAGAACCTTTGGAATATATAGAATATTTTTTCCATTGTTATTTTAATATGATATCAGAGCATAGATTCTAAGGATCCATTCGAAAAAAGGAGGCTTGGCCGATTGATTTCCAACATCAAGGATATCCGACGATATAACAAAAAATCCCTTCTTCAAGGGTTGCGGCGAACATGAAGAAACTGGGGACAAGCAGATCTCGAAGGTTAGCCCTTACGAATTAAATTCTACAAATAACCTCGCTTTGATTATCACCCAGATCAAATTGACTGGGGATAATTATGAAGAATGGGCACGAGCAGTAAAATGGTGGATAGTGAACACCCTGTTTAACACCATAGATGGATCACCTAGAAATTTTATCACACAAGTTGAGGAAGCACTAGAGCTGTGGAATGATATTATAAAACGATTTTCCAAGGCAAATGGACCAAGAGTAAATCAGCTGAAGAAGGAATTGGCGAACTGTAAGCAGAATGGAAAAATAATCACCATGTACTTTGGAAAGTTGAAGGGAATATGGGACGACCTAGCCACGCTCAAAAAGATCCCTTCATGCTCTAGATGTCGTACGTGTAAGTGCGGCACATCCAAACTTATTGAGACTCAAAAGGAGAATGAAAAGGTTTATCAGTTCATGATGGGACTTGACAACGAAGGATATGGTAGCGTGCGGTCTAATACTCTTACTACTGTTCCCTTAGCTCCATTAAATCATGTCTATTTGATGATCGTTCAACAAGGAGTGTTGAAGATCACTCAAGAAGAAGAAAACAATCCTATTAGTTTTGTAGTGACATATAATTGTGAGATAAATAAGAAACTCAAATGCAAGCACCGTGGACAGACAATCCATGAAATCCATGAGTGATTTCAAGTCATAGGGTACCTAGAATGGTGGGGAGTCATACTGTGCACCCAAACACTAAATCGGAGAGGAGGACGCGGTGGTGCTTGTCGCAGTCGCGGACGACAAACGCGTGGAGAAAGAGCTACCAGTCGAGGTAGTGGGTATGGAGGAAGTGGCGGGGACGGGCAGGGGGTCCAAATGGAGAGTGAGATCCCTTTTCTAAAGAAAAACGGAACTTTTTGTTGGGAATATTGAAAGAGAATGAAGTGCCTCTTGACAATAAATTTTCAGGTACTTCCTTAACCTCTTGGATAATAGATAGCAAAGCAAGTCAGTACATGACGGGAGATAAAAGAGGGTTGATGGACATAGAAAAGATAACTACCTATACAGTTGGCTTTCCTAATGGAGAACAAGACATGGCGGAACAAAAAGGGAGTGCTTATTTAATTGAAACACTTGTTTTGAATAATGTGTTGTTTCTTCCTAAGCTTACCTGCAACCTTATATCTGTTTCGCAACTTCTAGATGAAAAAATATTAATTGTTTAGTTTACTAATAAAATTTGTGCCTTGAAGATGGTAATTGGAATGGGTAACCAGCTTGGGAGCATATATTATTCCCTAAAGGGTGTGACCGATAGAGTCAATACTATGAATGCTGCTAAGGATATGGAGATTTAGCATAAGAGATTAGGACACCCTCCCCATTCTGTTGTTTAAGTTTTATCTCAAGTACTCTCTACCAAAAACACGATTTTAATATTCCTTGTGATGTTAGTCTCCGTTCAAAATAATGCCATAACTCTTTTCCTAAAAGTTTAAATAAATCTCATATTCATTTTTCCTTGATCCATTGTGATATGGGGGAGCATATAGAACTCCAGCTCAGACTGAGGCAAAATATTTTCTCATCATTGTGGATGATTTCTCTCAAGCTATTTGGTTCTATTTACTTAACAATAGAGTTGAGACCCCCTTCGTTCTCCATAATGTTTTCACCATGGTGGAACAACAATTTGATAAGAAATTCAAAATTGTTCAAAGTGATAATGGGAGTAAATTAACATCCTTAGCATCGTGCGTGCCTTGCGATTTTTAGCAAATGTACATATTAAATTATTGGGGGACTTTATCGTGACTGCTGGCTATTTGATCACCATACTCCCTCTTTCTTGCTTTACAATAAGACACCTTTTGAAGTGTTGTTTCGACAGCCACCTTTCTACTCTCATCTTCACACTTTTTTTGTGCCTAGCTTATGCCCATAACCAAAACCATCATGGCGACAAATTTGCAAGTCATTCACGAAAATGTATCATCCTTGGATATCCCTTTAGTAAAAAGGGTTGGCATCTACTTAAACTAGAAATAAATAAAATTCTAAAAAGTCGGGATGCCAATGTTTTTGAGCAATATTTTCCATACTCTACCTCTAAACCGTTGCTACACCACACGGATACCCCCGGCGAAAAAAATATCGAGTCGACTAACGGCGACGAACCTTCATCGTTTCCCAACATCCAACCATCTTCATCCACCAATCTGCATTTCCCGTCAAAACCTCCATCCAAAAGCTGAAATCTAACCGGCAGCTCAATTGGCACCGGTTAGATCAATAATTCACCCTCGGACATTGACGACACAATTCTGACTGACAACCCCACTAGTGCTGATGTCGGCACTAAAGTTGCCTCTTCTGGTAGCCCCACTAGCACCGACTCCCCTCCAAATCTCTTACGTTGGGGAACCCGCAAACGGCAACCCTCTACATGGTTATAGGAGTTAGTTGTTCATACAATTCAGCACCCTAAAGTTGCATCTCGATGCTTGCATTGGCCTTTAGGCACTCCTCATTGTATTATAAATTTTTTTAATTATGAAAATTTTTCTTTATCCTATAAATGTTTCTTGGCAGCTATAAGTGTAGAGATTGAGGGCACATATTTTTCTAAGGTCGCAAAGCATCCGCATTGGGGAGAGGGAATGCGGGACGAGATAAAAGCTCCGAAGAACAACAAACTTTGGTTTCTTGTTCCACTTCCTCCAGGACGAAAATAAATTTGCTCAAAGGGGATATTTAAAATTAAACACAAATTTGATGACTCCATTGAACGATACAAAGTATGTCTAGTTGTGCTTGGAAGTAGATAGATGAAAGGAATTGACTTTAAGGAGACTCTTGCTCCCACGACCAAGGTAGTAACTATTTGTACTTTGCTAGTTATCGCTGCTTCACGCTGATGTGTATAATGCCCTTTTCATGGAGATCTCAAGAAAGAAGTATATATATGAAATCAACCCTAGCTCCGCCTCACGCTACCATGGGTTAGTGTGTCGTCTATAAAAGTCTTTATATGGGTTGTGTCAGGCACCCTATTGTTGACTTGCAAAGTTGTCTTCTTCCATATGCAAGTTTGGTTTCCTTCAGTCTAAAGCTGACTATAGCTTGTTACTTACACCAGGGGGTATTAAAGTGTATGTTCTGATTTATGTGGATGATCTTGTGATTGTCTCAATGTAACATATGATGCATTTACTGCAAAATTCAAACACTACCAGGCTCAGTGTTTCCATATGAAAGATTTGGGACAATTGAAGTATGTTCTGGGGATAAAGGAGGCACGTAATTCCCAAGGTATTTTCTTGTGTCAATGAAAACTATGCTTTGGATATCTTGACAAAGTCTAGAATGCTTGTAGCTCGTCCAGCTAGCATGCCTTTGCCAGCGAACCATCATCTTGTTCTCGCCACAAAAGCCAAACTACCCCAACTAGGCCAGTATCGTCGCCTCGCCGATCACCTTATTTATTTGACTATCTCACTCTCAGATCTCTCTTATGCAATTCATACTCTCCCACAATTTATGAGTACACCACGCCAAGAACATTCGGAGGCCACACAACATGTCCCCCGTTATTTGAAATCTTGTCCTAGACATGAACTTTTTCTCCCGACCGATTGTGATTTATCCCTCACCGCTTTCTACGACTCCGATTAGGCTAGTTGTCCCTTTATATGCTGCTTAGTGAGTTGATATTTGATAAATCTTGGAAACTCCTCCATCTCATGGCGTACAAAGAAACAACATATGATTTCCTGCTCGTCTGCTAAAGCTGAATATCGAGCAATGGCTATTACTGCTATTTTTAAACTAAAATGGTTGAGATCTCTTCTTCTTTTGTTCGGCATCAAGGTACGCATTCCCATGAAACTGTTTTGTGAGAGTCAAGCTTCTCTCCCATTGCTGCATCCCAATCCGGTATTGAGATTGATTGCCACTTTGTATGTGATGAAGTTCAACGTGGTATTCTCCAAACGACACACATTGTTTCTGATTATCAGCGTGCTGACTGCCTGACTAAGACACTCCCTGCCACACTATTTCATCATTTGTTGACCAAGCTAGGCACTCGTGATCCACAGGTTCCCGCTTGAGGTGGGTGTCACGGGGAACGTGCACTACACGAAAGGGAGATGCTGAATCCATGAAGAACTCTATTTGTGTGATTTTGTTTTCTAGTTTGTCTATGGTAATTTGTTTCCTAGGCTGTTTTAGACCCTTATCTTCTTCTTTGCCAATAAATAGAGGAGAGACTCTTCGTATCAAACAGAACCTTTGGAATATACATTATATTTTTTTCTCATTATTATTCTAACATACTCCCTCCGTCCCTAAAAACCTTTCTCTTTTCGTTTTTCATTCATCCCAAAAAATACTCCTCTCATTTCTATTAAAAAGTCACTTTTACCCATACTGATTTTTAACCTACCTACCACATCACATTTATTCACTATTAATCTACCTATAAAATCCTACTTTACCCATCACATCAAAAGATATTTTTAGAAACTCAGTAGCAAAATATACCTTACTTAAATCCTTTAAAAATCAAAACCTCCCATATTTTTAGGGACGGAGAGAGTATATTCTTACTACTTTAACATTTTTATGTCTCCTAAATATTTGAAAAAATGTCTAGAGGTAATACCTTACTGAGTTGTTATGTAGTATTTCGGATAATTTTTTCAAGTCAAATTAAACAAATTCTAATCATCAAATTGGAAGGAGGAAGGTAATGTAGCATGATAAATGCATGAAAAGAATAGGATTAACAATAACTTACTCACTAGCTGCATGCATCGATCAATGGTGCTCATTTTTAAGGACCCCCACGTCCTGGAACAAAGTGTAGTGATCCATAGAGGGCTGCTGGGCCATCATCATCTGCTCATAAAAATGCTGCTGCTGATGGTGATCATGGGGATTGAGGCCTTGCTGCTGGTAGTTATTGTTATTATTATTACCGTAAATTGAATAGTTAGGGTGGTTCCCGAAATTGGGGCCCGCCATCATTGGATTCATCAGAAGTTCGTGAGGAAAGTGGGGCATCAGCGCTGCTGCAGCCGGAGACGATGACGCCAAGAATGAGGCGGGAGATAAGAGCGCCACCGCGTTGCCCCGCAGGGTCGCCGGGCAGTGGTGGTTGTGCTGCCCCTCGTAGGTGGTCACCACCACCGTCGGATCTTCGTACGACCTCTCCACCCGCTTCTTCACCGTGCACTTTTGGCTAGTGCACCTGTAATAACTCCTGCGGCATTCATATAAGGTACACAAATTTTACTAATTTTGTCAAAGAACCACACTCGGTTTAAACCCCTTTAAAATATTCAATTTAATCGATTACTTAGTTCAATCTAACACTTTATATACCAACTATTTTACTTCTCACTTTTTTTTTTTTTGGATACTCCTTAACACTCTTTTTTAAGTGCACAAGCGGACTATTTTGAATCTAACTGATTGACCACTTGTAAATAGACTTTTTTTCTCTTGGTTTATTTTTTTAACGCCAACACCTAAAGCATTATGAGTTGTTGAGTATGGACTTCTAGACGAGCAATCGAGTTAAACAGGCCACAGACCGTTGGATATACATTCCAGAAGCGAACAACTTGGCTAAAGACTAATGAGCTGCTAGGAATGAACTTCTAGACGGGCAGTTTAACAAATAAGGTGAGCTAAAACTCGCTCTGATACAATGATAAGGAACTAATTCATAGAGACTTTTATATATACTCTAGCACGCCCTACAGGTGTAGGTGGGACTTTTTTGAGCATTGCACGTAAAATCTTATTTTTTAAAAATTGGGTGACAGTAAGTTTCAAACACGTGACCTCTTGATCAATAAGGCTTTGGTACCATGTAAAAGAATCAAATAAACTAAGTGCTCATGCTTATGCTTGTTGCCCATTAAAAGGTTTTTATATACTCTAAGGTTTTGTTTGGTATACAAAATTGACAGAATCGGAATTTTATTGAAATTGAAATTCAATAGAATTAAAATTGATGGAATTGAATTCTCAAATTCCAATTTATTTTTTACACTACTAAATGTAAATTCACATATTTTGGTACAATCAAACACCAGAATTGAAATTGAAGTTCTTAGTTCCCATTCTACAACTTGAATGCTGTGTACCAAGAATAGCTTTATATCGTGTAAAAGTTAGAACAAAAAAATCCCCTTGTGGCAAAATTTTCCCATTTGCTAAAGAAAATCCGGGAATCATTTCCGATATTTCGGTATTTGGTCAACAGAAAATGAATTTTATTTAGAAGATTTTGTAATTTGTCCTTTTTTTTACTGAACACATTTTTCATCATTCTGCTACTTTTCATATCCAAACTCGCTATATTTTTCTTCGTTTTGTCATGTAATCACAAAAAATGAGTTCTTTTTCTTTTAAGTTTTTTTTAATTGAATTTTTAAATTCTTCTGATGAAACCATTTTTCAAATGTGATTTTCCATCTTTGTAAATACTCCCTCTATTCCTTAAAACCCTTCCTCTTTCATTTTTTTCCAATTCCCTAAAACACTTCCTTTTTCTATTAAAAAACTAATTTTACCCCTACTTTTCATACCCTACCTATCACATCATACTTTTTCACTAATAACCAAACTATCATATCTTACTTTTACCTATCACATCAGAGTAAAATTGGAAAGTCAACCAAAATTACACTTTCCTTAATTTTAAAAGTCAAAACATGAAACTTTTTAAGGAACGGAGGGAGTAGATTCTAAGTGATCAGTATAAATTCAAAGAATGCAATGGTATCATTTGACGATTTTGACCTCATTGGAACCTTCAGCCATTGCTATATAAAATTATAAAGAGTGTTAGTCCCTCTTACCAAATTTGACTAACCACGAGGACCATTAGTCAAATGATACTCCCTAATTACTGCTACAGTAAGATTTTTTTAGATGAGGAAAACACATTAAAGCACGTCCTAAAACAAACGGAGTTCTTTCTATTCCTAAAAACAGAAGCTTTAATTTAGAATGAAACGAAAGTTGCGGATCCGTTTGGCATATAGAACTGATAGGATTAGAATTGAATTGAGAGTTGAAATTCTATGGATTGAATTCTCCAATTCCAATTCATTTTTGTCACTACCAATTCCAAATCAACATGTTTTTGTGCTACCAAACAGTTGAATCAGAATTCCATAGTTTGAATTCCGGAGTAGTTGTTTTGCAATTGTTTTATCATTTTCAGAATCTTATATCTCTATTTAATAACAACGTTTGGTTATTGCACTCTTAAAACTAATTTGTACTATAAGAAAAATATCTAAAACGCTAACACTAATTGAAAATAATAATTGTAAATAAGGCCCAACAGAAAATTGAGGCGAGGGTGTAGGTGAAAAAAATCTTAACCTGGGGAATGGGCTGTTCTTGACAGCTTTTTGGCCATATTTTCTCCACCTATATCCATCTTCAAGATTATCAATTTCGCTTTTCGTCAAGAAGGAGAATCGGGGTTGTTTTTGTCTTTTCCCACCTTTCTTCTTCGTCGATGCCCCTTTGTGTCTGAGAATATAATGCCATGATTCAAGAGCTAAACATCAATGACGACAACTTTCACTAAATATTTTGCATGGATTCTTAAATAAGTTTAAAGTGTGAATGTTATGAAAAAATTGGTTACTATTTTTGTAGAAATTGATAAGAAAATTATTTATTAATTACAAACGTCTTATTTATATAACTCTAATCTAGCCTCATTAGTAACAAAATCTAATTGCATTCGCTAACAATCTTGCTCCGATTATTTTCTGTCTCCATTTGGGTTCTACTTGGAGAAGTCATGATTGCGAAATTCTTTGAATGCTAGTGATGATAAGGTTTGTTTTGGAATATCGTTAAAGATTAGCGTTAGCATTTTGGATAAAATTTTATCGATGCAGATTACTATGAAAATGCTAACGTTAAAAGCTACCCGTAGATAGCTTTTTCAAAACACTAACGTTAATCTCAAACGCTATTCCCAAACAGACCTTTATTTTCATCGTGTAATAAAGCTTTCTAAGTATATTCTACCACAAATTGTGTAGCGAAAATCATGCAGTGTTTTCTGGAAGTAATTAGTTATATGGAGAATTAAATAGGAAATGATATCCCCGGAGTATTAGGGGGGAAATTAGGGTTTCTGTTTGTTAAGAGACATTGAGGATTGTTGTTAGTTGATGATGATAATTGATAAAATCAAACCACAGTAGAGACAAAGCACAAAGACGTGCAAGATTCAACCTAGGGAAGAACAAAAAGTAAAATTCATAACAGTTTTAAGTCGAATATTTCAAGCAGGTAAATTAAACATTGAATATATCCAGTCCATCCACTGTTGTCCTGGCCTTAAAAAGTCCAAGTTTTTTGCTGTTGCTTGGGTTGAAATAACAAGCTATAGCACATGACTCCTCAGACTTGAATAATAATAATAATAATAATAATAATAATAATAATAATACGGAGTAATAACAACCACAATTTACTCATAAAAAGATAATGCAGAGACATTTTAAAATCAAGTTTATGAGCTCAATTTACGAGGTTTGACCGAAGTTATTTTCCATTAAATTTAGATAAAATTTAGAGTAATACTCCAAAAAAATTCCAATTTTACAAGAATACTCTGAAAATTAATTAGTGAAATCACTACTCCCACAATTGCTCTATTTTTTTTAAAAAAAAAAAACACTCCACCCACCACCTCACTTGAAAGACAAAGTGTTTTAGTGAACGGAGAAAGTAGTTTACATAACATTTCTTTTAGTAAACACTTTGTCTTTCATTTTTTTCTTCCACCAAAACAATTTTACTTTCTATTAAAAGACTATTTTTACCCCTACTTTTTCTTACCATATCTATCACATCATATTTTTCTGTAATAATCTATTCATCACATCTTACTTTTATCCATCACATTAGGGGCAAAATTGGAAGCCAACTACAAATTTACACTTCATTATTTTAGCACTTGGTCAAAATGGAAAGTGTTTTCAAGAACGGTGGATGTATAATTTTCTTTTAGCTATAATGTTTTAGAAATGTTATGAAATAACTTAACTGAAAAAAAGCTAACATTTCTTTTAGATAAAAGAAATGTTATGCACTCTCTCCGTCCATGAAAACATTTCTCATTTCTTTTTTCATCCATCCCAAAAAACACTTCTTATTTCTATTAAAAAGTCACTCTTACTCCTTATTTTTTTCATACCCTACCTATCATATCATACTTTTTTACAATAATCCATCAAATCCTACTTTTATCCATCACATCAAAGAACTTTTTTGGAAATTCAATAACAAAATACACTTTCTTTAAATCTCTTTAAAATCAATAACTCTCATGTTTTTAAAACCGAGGGAGTATGACTTAATATTTAATTGCAATACTATAATTCTTTTATGTATTACTATAGTATTAATTGTTGTTTTAAATAATATGATTTATAAGATTTAATTTGGGGGGATTCACCTATATAGTACTCCGTATTAAAACATAGTGAATTTTGCATTCTAGTATATGTTTTAATTTCTTAATATAGTACCATTATTCAGTGTTTACTGGACATTGTTCGAGTAAATGTCTACCATCACTGGACATTTTTTAAATATTACTATTTTGGAAATAAAAAGTTCTAAGTACTACGGAATACATTGGAAAAAGACATACTCCCTCCATTTAAGACAAGGGTTTCTATTTTGACTTTTAGAAGAAATAAGAAGTATATATATTTGTGGTTGACTTTCCAACGATCTTCTTGATGTGATGAATAGATTATTACAGAAAAAATATGAAGTGATAAGTAGGGTAAAAGCGATTTCTAATATAAAGCGGAAGTATTTTGAAGGAAATAAAAAAATGAAAGAAGAAATATTTTAAGAAACGGTGGGAGTATGTTTTAGGTCACGTTTGGCATTAGCATTAGAGATTAGCGTTTCGAAATGCCTATCCAGCAGTAGCCTTTACCGTAGCATTTTCAGAAATAATCTACACTACTAAAATTTTATCCAAGATATTAACGCTAATGGAAGACACTGTTCCCAAACAAGAACTTAGTTCTAATTTGTTCAAATTTCATTTTAATTTGTCAAAATCAAGACCCTTTTATTTCATCTCGCAGGGCCTTAGAATCATCGGGCGGCCCTTAAAGAAGCTAAGCAAGAACGGACTATATATGTTCAAAAGATTCTTGAACGACTAAAACTAATTATAGTAAGTACTCCGTAATCAAATAATTGTGCAAAGCAATGGAATATTAATAATCCCTTCCTCCTTATAATAATAACTTCACAGTGTGTTTACTTAGATGAACAAATTTTTACACTTTCATAAGTTTAATTATAACTCATTTGATAAAATAATATGGAGTCTAACTATGTCAATTTTTATTTTATGAAAATTTTAATGCATTTCTTTAAGCTCTAATTTGATTTTTTTTACCTTATGTCAATTGCTAAGTAAATTAAATGAAAAATAAAGACAAGAGCTTAGCTGGTAGAAAAATGTAATCGTACATTTTTGTAGACTTCTCATCCTCTCCATCTTCACAGCCTTTAGGCTGCAGATCTTTCTTGCTCTTTGAAGAATCGTCGTCTCCTCCTCCTCCTCCTCCTCCTCCGCCCTCAGCCTCGCTCGAGTAGGAGGAGGCCGACGAGTTTGCCGGGAACGGAATATTCTCTCCGGCACCAATCGGCGGCGGCTCTCCCCCGGAAACACTGCTCTTCCGAGAAGATTCTTGATGATGATGGAAGTGTTCCGGGGGAGGGCCGCCGACCTCCGGCGAAGAACACGACATGCCGAAAGCGTTTGAGAGGGAGTTATAGTCCATGGAACCCTGTAAGCTCTCCGTGAAGCTCACGTACGACGGAGGCTCGCCGAATTCTTCGTGATGACGACAATGATCGTCGTCGTCGCCGAAGAAGGGAAACGTATTGATCCTTCCATTTCCCATCTGGTTATGGAAATGATGAAATGGGTTCTCATCAGACATATCAAACACCACGTTGACGACGACTTGATCTGCTTTTAGGGTTTCGAGATAACAAAAAATAAATATTAGAAAGAAAGAATCTCAACTCTCTTTCTCTCACCTGGAAATTAAAAGAGGTTAGATTTGTTTAAGATATGGCTGATTTGCCTTTTGGAATTACTTGAGCAGAAGGGAGATTAGGGTAGCTACACAGAAAACACCAGCAAACCAATGGATCATGAATTGGTAAGTGATAGTAATGAACGAACATCCAAGAGGGCACAACTTATATGCTACCTAAAGCAAAGGGAAAAAAAAAACCGAGTATGAAACTTTATTTTTCCGCACCCAAAATCTAGGTCCCACCAATCTAGGCGCCCTAAGACTCAATGATAGGGTAAATTTCGAGACATGTTTAATACCCAGCACTCGGTCGGCCCCGAAAAATGAAAAAATAAAATTGGTCTGGTCCAAAATTTACATTTTCTGACCTATTTTATATTTTTAGAATACTTTTGCTTTAAAATTATTAACAAATTTAAAAATATGGTGCCCTAAATTTTAAGGGGCACTGTGCGGTTGGCCACTTTGCACACCCTTCGAGCCACCCATGACCGATCATTTACTTTAAACTTGATCTTAATTACAAAGGAAAATGCTTGGTTCACAAACAAAATATTCACAAACTTACTATTTGTAAACTTTAATAAATAAAATTAAATAGTCTAAAATAAATTTAAAATGAAAATTTAAACCATAAATAGTAAGTTTGTGATATTTGTGAGTATCCTGTTTGTGAACGTAGCATTGCTCTTACTCAAATCTTATTCAAAATAATTAAGGGGCTGTTTGGCAACTTCTGAATGGGTAAGTGCTGAACCAGTAAGAGGTCTGAATCATTAAGTGCTGAACCAGTAAGAGGTTTGAACCATTAAGAGCTAGTATATTGCTTAACTATTCAGAGGCAAATGTCTGATCAATTCAGATAACAGCTCTTAACCATTCAGACTCTGTATAATACTTAACCATTCAGAGACAAATCTCTTAACCATTCAGACATCTGAACCATTAAGAGGGTGAAACAAACAGTCTCAATCATTAAGTGCTGAATCATTCAGACATCTGAACCATTAAGAGGCTGAAACAAACAGCCCCTAAGTGATAAAGGGCCTGTTTGGTAATAGCATTAGTGATTAGGGTTAGCGTTTTGGATAAAATTTTAACGGTGTAGATTACTTTGAAAATGTTAACGCTAAATACTGTATGTAGATAACTTTTTCAAAACGCTAACGTTAATCGCTAACGCTATTCCCAAACAGGCCCAAAGTTTAACTCTACCGACTATTCTTCTCGTAAATCTTTCAGTATAATTATGAAAATAATATTGAATAAGAGACAAGAATATTGAACTCAGTATTTGGAAACAAAAGAACTGTCCTTTATTTGAAACCCTTTAGGGGTATTTATAATATACTCTCTCTGTCTCACAAAATATTTAAACTCTCTCATCTTACGCGTCTCATAAAATATTTTATTTTCTCCAAAATGGACTAAACTATCTCTCTTTAACCCTACTTTCCCACATCCCATCCGTCACGTCTCTTCTTAGTTACTCCATCTCATTATTCTTATCTATTCATTGATGTAAAACATCACTTTAAAAAAAACCCCTAAGGACATTTGTGGAAGTTTAAGCACTCAAAATCCAAAACTAGAAAACTTTTACGGGACAGAGGGAGTTTAAGCTTCCTAATTCTATTAAAGAAATCACCCTACATAGCACTCTAACTCACCCTAAATTACGCATCTAGCACTACTCATTGTTTTTAACAAATTTAGCATTTTTTGGGGTCAATCCTTTCCTATCATGCCCTTTAACCTTTTCTCTTTTTCTCATTAAAAATTACGGCACTCCCTAGGCCGCACATACTCTTCTTGCGCTCGGCCGCACGTTGTGTAATACCCCGTATCAAGATATGGGAATGGGAAGAGCTCAAAAAGGATTGATAGTACTACTCATACCAACAAGGTGCATCTTCTTTTCGAGAGCTCATCACCTAGAAACTCCAAGGTTAAGCGTGCTTGACCTGGAGCAATTCTAGGATGGGTGACCCCGTGGGAAGTTTTCCTTGGGCACGCACGAGTGAGGACAAAGTGTGCGGGAAAGACTTGTGTTGGTTTGTGGGGACAGTCTACAATCCTATGAGCGAACACTTACGGCCAGGGTGAGGGTCGGGGTGTTACAAATGGTATCAGAGAAACCCTGCGACCGTGACGGGCCAGAAGAGCTTAGTTCACCTAGCGGGGAAGATCTATGGGTTCAAAAAAAAAAAGGATGCAACGGGTGACCCCCTGGGAAGTTTTCCTTGGGCGCGCACGAGTGAGGACAAAGTGTGCGGGAAAGACTTGTGTTGGTTTGTGGGGACAGTCTACAATCCTATGAGCGAACACTTACGGCCAGTGTGGGCAGTGTAAAGATTAAATGCCTAAATGTTGTCCTGCATTTTTAGTTTTATTTATTTTCTTAATCCTTAATATCTGAATTTGGTTCTTATCCTTAAAAAAACTTTGCATGTCAAAAAATTAAAAAATAAATTTACCTAAAATAATCCCACCTTTCGTTTATTTTCCAAAAATATGTATTTTCAAAAAATCCTGTTTAGTGGCCGTTAGTTTTTTAACGGCGGCCCAAAACTTGCAAACATGCAGAAAGGTGAGATTAATATGTATTTGTTTAATATTATAAAGTTCGCAATGTGACTAAAACGCCTATCATGTGTATATATATATATATATATATATATATATATATATATATATATATATATATATATATATATATATATATATATATATATATATATATATATATATATATATATATATATATATACGATGTGTTTTTGTATTCACCACTTCCATTAAATCCAACATTTTCATCGCATATTAGGTTATACGTCTATTCTTTGAGTTCATTCCTTTATTTAATTTAATTGAATATTTTCTCTTTTATTATTTAAAAGGAGCATCACAGATGGGTCCAAATTTGACGATATTGCTACGTGTTGATGGGACATGGGATACTCATGGAAGCTTTATATTGTGGCAGTGTATATATTGTGACATTATATATTTCAGACATTGAATTTTTGGCGGTGCATATATTGTGGCAGTGTATTTCAGACATTGAATTTTTGGAAGTACATATTGTGGCTAACATTATGGCAATGTATATATTGTGGCAGTGTAGATATATTGTGGCAGTGTATATATTATTGTGGCAGTGTATTATATTATATCTATTTTCTTAATCTCTGAGTATTTTTTCTCTCATTTTACAACACGTTATCAACATGAATTTGCTCAAAAATCTCAGAATCCTTGTTCTTCTCAGAAGGTATATTTATTTAATTTTCTTCATAAACAAACTAAAATATTTTCTTAGAAACTATGAAAAGTATGCTCTGTGATTGCCCGAATTGTGGCAGTGTAAATATATTGTGGCAGTGTATATATTGTTGCATTGTATTTCAGACATTGAATTTTTAGCAGTGCATATATTGTGGCAGTGTATTTCAGACATTGAATTTTTGGAAGTACATATTGTGGTTAACATTATGACAGTGTATATATTGTGGCAGTGTAGATACATTGTGGCAATGTATATATTGTGACAGTGTATATATAATACAAATTTTTTTAATTAAGGGTAATATTGGGAATTCATCTCAAAAACTTATAGCACTGCTATTTTGCGTATTATAAGCCTATTAAAGTGCTATATTCGTATTTCTAGGCTTTTCTTAGAAAACATGGGTAAACCTCTCCCCAAGTAAGTAATTTCAATCCTATTTGGCCCAGCCCATAAAGCTTATCCATTAGACCGGACGGGTTCCGCCCTTCATCGACCTACATATTTAGTTTTTGGGTCTGGGCCTTCATGCCGAGATTAATTGATCAAGATGAGTATATTGATCTAATTATATTAATAATTTCACCTGGGTCCAATTTACCCATCATAATCCCCTTATTTTCTTGTGTGGGGTTGCCCACGCCTATATCAACTTCCTCACTTCATCTTCTATATTTTCACTCTCTCCGAATCCTCAAAGTCCCTCTGCAACAAGTTCTTCTTCGTTACGTCGTCCCAGATCTAGGGTTCATCAATCTATTGTTCTAACCCCTCCGTTTCTCTCCCAAATCCTCCAATCTTACTTCCGATCTTGCCAAGATGGTGAGAATAGACATGAATCAATGGGAATCGAAACTCTCCTCTACTACGTACGGGATGTGACTTGATGGCGATGCAGCATCTCTTGGCCGGCCTCTTCCTCCATAGTGGAGCCCCTGGTGGGTACTAAAATCTCGAATAGTCGTGCTCCGGATCAAACGGACCTTTTGCAAAGTGAGTTTGTCAAGAACAGTTGTTGGTTTCCTTTCCATCCACTGCCGATTGACATTTGTAACCATCATCATCTTATCCCCTAGGCTAACTGACAGAAAACGCACATATGACCCTCTCTCTGATTTCATTGTAACACCAGCATAACTCAAATACATAAGTTAGCGAACCACATTGCTACTAAATTGGCATCAAGACACAATTTATTTCCAAACTAATTTAAAAGATTTAAATAAATTAAAAAACATATTTATAAATTTATCGAGGTAATATAAAACTGTGTAGAAGCTTAAGTACCTAATTCAAAACACAACCTTGGGTTCTTGCCCAAAAATATAATAAATTCAAATATAATATCAAATTAAATAAACCCATGCAGCAAGTATCCATCCGTCTCTTTATCATTGCTGCCCTCCGGGATTGGTTCCTTATTGATCATTCTTGTTACCTACATGTAGCAAGTAAAACAAACTACACGCTCAGCTTTCACGCAGAGTGAGAGGTTCTAGCATTATAAGTCACACATAGAATTAATTCAGCATACATAATCATTCATACCATTCCATGCACAAGTAATATCACATAACAACATCATATAATATTAACAATATCATAACAAATCACACCTCATGTTATTTACCTTAATCGTTCGGCTGCACTAGTTACCATATCTGCACTCATGTTCTTACCATAGCTCATCTCGAATAATTGCTCATAACCTATTCTAGGCTAAGGATATTTAGTAGCAGACACAGACACAACACATTATAATATAACACGACTTTACCAATGAAGGAGTTCTCCGCTAGATCGGTGGTACCCTTGTCCCCTTCGGAACGATA